GTGGTGAGGGGCTTCTCCCAGCTGCTCTCCCCTCGGCCCCCTCCCCTGCCCCCAAGGGACTCTAGGGACTACAGTCACTACTCCTTCTGAATGCCCTTCTCGGGATAACTCTGAGGTAATAATTATCCTCACTTTACAGAAGAGGAAACAGGTTCAAAGGGTCATGTGACTCGCCCGGCGTCGCAGAGTAAGTGGCAGAGATGAGGCTGGGACCCGGGTCTTCGGCTCCAGAGCTCTGCTCCTTCAGCCCAGCTCTGTCCTCCCAGGCCCTCTTCCTTGCCTTCCTTCTCTGCTGAAGGCCCTGCAGGCATCTGGGAGTGAGGTGGGGGAGGAAGTAGCTGGGCCAAACCCCTGCCCGGTGGGCAGAGGAGCCCGAGGGCCTGGAGGGCGGCCACCCCCACTCCCCCCTCCGGGACCTGGAGCCAGGGCCCCAGCCCACTGGGAACTCTGTCACTGCTGTGGCCAGACTTCTTTCCCTCTTTCCCCTTCCTCCTTAATTCCCTTTGCCTTCTTTCCAGCCTTTCCTTCCTGTCACTCCCTCTGGGGAATGAAGAAAAGAGGGAGGTGGCTGTGCCAGTGGGAACTGTCGGGCTAGCACATCTCTCCCGCCCCTCCTGCCCCTCCTCCAGCTCCCCCGTAAGCCAAGTTCCAGGAGGGCCACCTGCCCTGCCCTGCCCCTCCCCAGGCAAAGTTGAAGGGGGGTGGGTGGAAAGCACAGTCAACCGAGGGGACTGACCTTCCGGGACTGACCGGAAGGAAGGTTCCTGAACCTTCCTCCTCTAATCCCACTCCTGCAGAGCTTCCAGTCCCAAGATTCGCAGCCCCCTTTCCTCCCTCCTGGACACCCCTCCTCTCAGCCTGCAGCCCAGCTCTGAGCCCCAAGCCTCAACACTGCACTTCCTGTTAAGAATTCCTCCAGGCTGGAGCTGGCCGGGACAGAGGAGACCCCCCAGGCTCTGGCCTTCAGGGCATAATCAGGGAGGAGGGAGGAAAGGCAGGGAGTCTCAGGAAGGAAAGCAGTGGAGGCAGAGGGAGGAAAGGGGTGGGGGGAGCAGCAGAACGCTGCCTCTTACAGGAGGGCTAGCATTCCAGTCAGGGTCCTGGAATCCGGTTGGTGGCCTCAACAGCAACCCTTCACCCCCTGTCCACTCTTCAGCCTATGGGGAGAAGGTGCGGGGCTCTGGGAATGATAAGCAGAGCTCAGGGACCCCCCGGGGGCCAGCCTAGTCCTGGAGGAGCACAGGAGGAAAGCTTTGGCCCAGGGTTCAAGTATGTGATGGACTCAGGCATAAGAGGGTGCATCCCCAAGTGCAGAGAAATTTGTGGATCTGTGTCCTGGTGTTAAGTGAGTGACCCAGTAGAGATGTGTGTATGTGAGTGTGTTAGGTGATGCACGTGCAGTTCCTGTGTACAGAGACAGGAAAGAGACTGGAAGAGAAAGGGTTAACACCTGGATAAGGAGAGCAGCCCCTCTTCAGAGAGAAAGCCAGGCCTTGTCATCTTCACCGCCCCCCATCCTAAAGCCCCAGGAATGAGAAAAGGTGGGTATGCATGTGTGGGTGCCTGCAAGCCTGGGGTTGCTACCTGAGCCCAGTCCCAGGCTCAAAAACTTCCCGCAGCTCACTCCCCTGCGATGCGCTGCCCCCTTCCCCTCCCCATAAATGGGGGAAGGAGGACTGAACCCACATACAGGGCAGAATAGGAAGGGAGCCCTCCTTCTCCTGTCACCTTGCCCCTTCTCTCCCTTTTCCTTTCCTTTCACGGTCCTGCCCCTCTTCACTCCCTTTGATAGGTTCTGTCCTTCGAGATGATGAGGTATTTGAGACCAGAGATAAGCCCAGGGGTCTTACTGGCAGGCCTGTTTCCCTATGCCCTGTGTTTCCCTCCAAGTTTACTAGAGTCGGGGCGGACCTCAGGAAGCGGAAAGGGAGGGCTGGAAGGGCTGGGAGAGCAGGTAAAGGCCGCATCCCACTTCTGAGCACACCTCACCACCTGGGAGTGGCCCATGGGTCAGTCCCTCCCATGTCTCCACTTATGCCCGAAGGCTTGATGCAGATGTTGGGGTGAGACCAGAGGGGCAGAGAGCTTGCCCATCCTGCCCTGAACTGGAAAACCCTGTCCTTCTGACACCACGCTTGCGGTGTTGGCTCCTAATCGTCTCCTTTGGGGGACAGCCAGCCTGCTCTTGCACAGGCCTTCCGCCAGTCAGGGCTTTGGTTCCATCCTTCACAGAGTAAAGGACAAGTCCAGCCCCGGGGCAAGGGTCCTGTTCTCCTGCCACCTGGTTGCCCTAACCAAGCAGGCATGGAAGGTGTGAGAGAAGGCATCTTCCCATTGGAGTAGCTCCCCTGGATGGCCAACACCCCACACTTGGAGGGGAGGGTCAGGAGGATCTGTCCTGACCCATCATCTCCTATCACCAGGAGCCCTGCCTGGAGTTAGGACCTCCCTTCTCTGCTCAGGGAGTGCACACTGAGAAATGACGGCTCTCTGTTCAGCTCCCACCCCAGTTGACTTTGATTCGGCCCCTGGGCCCCTAGAGAGCTTGCCTCCCTGGTCCCTCTCCCTCCTCCTTTGTGTTCCATGGATAGTAAGACCAGGACTGGGGAGAATTAAAGGTGGCAGCACTGGGCCCAGAATCAATGTGACTATGCCATCTCACCCTGGCCCACCCTCTCCCACCTGGCACCGCAGGCCCCGGGAGGACTGGCTTGCTCCCTCTGCTGCCCTGCAGCCACATTTTTTTCCTAGTCTGAAACCCCTCTTCCTCTCTTCTTAGTCTTTTATCTCTTCCCCTCTCTTCTCAGGAGCTCTCACCCCCACTTCTCCTTGCCACCCTCCCCTCTGGCCAATCCCCCTTAATTCCCTTAGACATTTTGAGACCAACAAGGGACAGGAGAGTTGGCAGTGGGGGTACTTACTCCCTGAATGGAAACAACCCAAACCTTCCTCGGGCTAGAGGGACTTGAGTGGACTGCCCCCCACCTCCGCCCCCAAAGAAGAAAGGAGCCAGCGGGGCTGGGTCAGGCCTCTGCTCCTGCCCGTTGGCACAGGGAAGCTCTGTATAGAAACCTGCATGCAGAACGGGAAACAGGGCTCCAGCTTTAGAAAATAAAGTGTTTGTTTATTATGAAATTAGAGATGGAGGCCCCTCCCCTTCCTCCCTTTTTCCCCTTCCCCAGCTGCCTCCCCCTTTCCTTTCCTTTCCTTTCCTTTCCTTTCCTTTCCTTTCCTTTCCTTTCCTTTCCTTTCCTTTCCTTTCCTTTCCTTCCCCTCCCCTCCTCCTGGGGCCTGGGAAACACACAAGACAATGCC